AGGACTGTCCCAGAGACACAAGACTGTTCCAGAGGACACAGGACTGTCCCACAGACACAGGACTGTCTCAGAGGACACAGGACTGTCCCTCAGACAGAGGACTGTCTCAGAGGACACAGGACTGTCCCAGAGGACACAGGACTGTCCCACAGATACAGGACTGTCCCAAAGGACACAGATCTGTCCCACAGACAGAGGACTGTCTCAGAGGACACAGGACTGTCCCAGAGGACACAGGACTGTCCCACAGACACAGGACTGTCCCAGAGGACACAGGACTGTCCCACAAACACAGGACTGTCCTACAGATACAGGACTGTCCTACAGACACAGGACTGTCCCACAGACACAGGACTGTCCCACAGACACAGGACTGTCCCAGAGGACACAGATCTGTCCCACAGACACAGGACTGTCCCAGAGTACACAGATCTGTCCCACAGACACAGGACTGTCCCACAGACACAGGACTGTCCCAGAGGACACAGGGCTGTCCCACAGACACAAGACTGTCCCAGAGGACACAGTACTGTCCCACAGACACAGGACTGTCCCACAGACAGCGGACTGTCTCAGAGGACACAGGACTGTCCCACAGACACAGGACTGTCCCACAGACACAGGACTGTCCCACAGACACAGGGCTGTCCCACAGACACAGGACTGTCCCAGAGACACAAGACTGTTCCAGAGGACACAGGACTGTCCCACAGACACAGGACTGTCTCAGAGGACACAGGACTGTCCCACAGACAGAGGACTGTCTCAGAGGACACAGGACTGTCCCAGAGGACACAGGACTGTCCCACAGACACAGGACTGTCCCAAAGGACACAGATCTGTCCCACAGATACAGGACTGTCCCACAGACACAGGACTGTCCCAGAGGACACAGATCTGTCCCACAGACACAGGACTGTCCCAGAGTACACAGATCTGTCCCACATACACAGGACTGTCCCACAGACACAGATCTGTCCCACAGACACAGGACTGTCCCACAGACACAGGACTGTTCCAGAGGACACAGGGCTGTCCCACAGACACAAGACTGTCCCAGAGGACACAGGACTGGCCCAGAGGACACAGGACTGTCCTAGGGGACACAGGACTGTCACAGAGACACAGTACTGTCACACAGATACAGGACTGTCCCAGAGGACACAGGACTGTCCCAGAGGACACAGGACTGTCCCAGAGGACACAGGACTGTCCTAGAGGACACAGGACTGCCACACAGACACAGGACTGTCCCACAGACACAGGACTGTCCCAAAGATAAAGGACTGTCCCAGAGGACACAGGACTGTCCCAGAGGACACAGGACTGCCCCACAGACACCTCTGATATACCTTGTATCCTTGTACACTATTCAATGTGTGTGGTTATACTTATATTCAATAAGGATTCAATGGCAAAATCTAAGAAAGTCTACGCTCCCTAATTTTAACGTTTTAAACTTAGTGAGCGTACACTTTCCTATAGCTTTGAATGACAACACACATTTTTCCTGTTGTTTGGGATTTTAATACAGGAATAGCTGACAAATATATTGGACAAAATGGTGAGTATTGATTCATTATTAGCACATTACTTTACAGACAAATAATACTTACGGTATTTCTTTTCTTTTGAGCTTCCAACACCAAGCAAATGTGATCCTGCAGAAATAGAGAAGGAGGAGAAAACAAAGACAACAAAGAATATACAATATTGGCAAGTTGTTAAGTAAGTAAATTGACAGTATTGAATTGTTGAAGTACAGAACACTTATTTGTTTGTTTTTCTTACAGTGAGATGGACCTTTAAACTGGTGGCTGTGGAGAGGAGGAGTGGAGGAAGAGGTTTATACCCATGTTGTCATACAAAATACAGGTACACTTGAGATGACTTGTATTTGTCCCTCCTCCAAGTGTATTGAATATTTGTGTTTTTTTGCACAAGGTCCAGGCTAGGACAGGAGGGAGGCTGAGGTCCTGACTTGGGACTGCTGTGTGACTAACTCACGACAGGTAAGTTTTTGTCAAGTCAAGTGGTAACGGAAGGAAACGGGCAGATTTTTTACATTCAAATAGCTCTTATTCAGAAACTAGAGGGACTATTAAAATAAGTAAGGTATTAGAATGTAGGAAAGAGTTAACACTCCAACAGGGTAAAGTTAAACCTGTGATATTCTTTCAAGTTGTTGACAAAAAATTAAAAAACTCATGTCTGTAACGGAGGGAATGAAATATGCAGCACTTTTTGGGCAATAAATCCAAACAGTGATAACTCTTGGTTCTCACTTACATATCCTTAACAA